GTTGGCCGGAAGGTGATGTCAGAGCCGTCTGTGACGTCAGAGCTGCGGCGGGCCGCATCACCGGGCGCCAGTGGTTACGGAAAATTGCCATCATCACGAGTCTTTCTGGCAGGGTCAGGTGTGCTGGTGGAGTCTTTGTAAACGGGACACGATCCACCTGGTGCTTTCTGATGAGCTGTATGCGGTGATGGTCACCAGTCACCGTGCAAAATAAATGATCAGCAGTGGCACATCCAAGATAGACCTCCTCAACTCATGTACATGCCCAGTGGTGAGCTAAAGGTATCGTCAACTGAAACACGTGTTGGTACATCGCGCGTATTTATTCATTACTCAACAGCGATAAGCAGCCTTTTACAGGTGATGCTGGTTAGTTTGCCAGCTGTCATCGGACATGCACATGTCGCTACTTTTTATGCGGTTTCTACTCAACATTTAAATTATCTCTGGGCCGTCTGTATGCGTCCGTTTTATACTCAGAATCTCTGCCATCCTTTGGTGTTTTCAATGCAGATAACTCCTGCAGCGTCGGTGGCTAAGAATGCGCATAATAGATATTACCACGCAAGTGCGACTCATCAGTCTTTAATAAACATTGGGAAACTCGTGTAAACGGCTCCCGTTCCATGCGGACAAATTGCCTGCCTTGCATCGGTATAAAAAACTGGGCAGCCTCGCGCCTCACCTCGTACAGTTACCCGATGACAGAATAGTTGCCGATGCGTATCAAACACAGCGGGCGTCGCCTTATCCGCTCTCACCGCGGAGCCGTCAACACAGGCCGCTTGGGCGGGCAAGGACGAAGCCGCAAATAAATAGTGGAAACAAGAGAGAGCAAGCACACAATTCCCGAGAGCCTCGCAACAGAAACATGAAACTTTTGGTAGGGTAAACCCATGCATTGGTGCCATCAGCAAAATGCGGTGCAGTGTCCGTGCCTTTTGCACTGTACTGTGTGCCGTCATAGCTGAGAAAGGAAAATTACCCGTTGACGCGCATGAGCTTTCAATATTGAACTAACTGGGGAGTTCGATACTCACGCTTTCAAGACATTTTTTTTGCAGCAAGAATATCTTCATAATCTTGCGTGCACTGATCGCGATGCTTTTTTGTTTACTTGCGTGTAGTATCATGACCTTTGGATACCTCCTAGACTAATCAAGATATCGTATTATTATCCGCGCTCTTCCTCTTACCGCCCATCTGCCTGTTTCAGATGGTTTTGGCGTGTGTCGCGGCCAGCGGTGCCCAGTATATGAACAGGCTGGGTTGGAATGGAATCAACGGCTGGAACTCGGGGCTGGCAAGCCCCATCATGCGCTCTGGCATGATCACTAACATGAACACCATGGCCGCTCCCATGATGGGAACTACGATGATGAGGACCATGGCTGCGCCCATAATGAGGACCATGGCCGCCCCCATGATGAGGACCATGGCCGCCCCCCTGATGAGAACCATGGCCGCCCCCATGATGAGGACCATGGCCGCCCCCATGATGAGAACCATGGCCGCCCCCATGATGAAGACCATGGCCGCTCCCATGATGAGAACCATGGCCGCCCCCCTGATGAGAAGCGGCATGATGGGTAACTTCGCCCGCCCCATGACGGCGGCGCCCGTTGGTCACGCCTTCGGCTACAACGACGGCTTTTCGGCCCGGTCGGAGAAGTCCTTGCTGGGGGTGACCAGCGGCTCCTACAGCTACGTCGACGCCGCCGGCAAGGTGCAGACGGTGCGCTACAAGGCCGACGCCAACGGCTTCAAGGCCGAAGGCACCAACCTGCCCGTGATGAACATGGCCGCACCGCTGCCAGTCGACGACACGCCCGAGGTCAAGGCCGCCAAGGCAGAGTTCATGGCCAAGTTTAGGGCAGCTGAGGCTGGCGCCCGGAGGAGGCGCTCCATCGCCTTCGGTCTGGGCTACACCCCAGCCTCCACGGCCCCGATGATGGCCGCTGTGCCCCTGGTCGCTCCAGGTGCGGTCCACCCTTGGACTGGGTCTTCTCGGATGGTAAAATGCAAGCGTCAGCATCCGACGCATTTTTATAGGAGTAGAAGAACGTTTATCATGAAACGTATGCAGACGTTTGTTTCATGTGATTTGCATGCATAGCCACGAAATACACATGATGAGAAAAATGATGGTGTCGTAAAACGCCTACTACGATTTGATCGATTCAATACCCATCCGCTTAATCAATTCAATCTCTACCCTCCAGCGAGGTCCTCCGCTGGCCTGGGCCTCCCCGGGTGGTCCGGTTAGAGAGGCTGCGCCGTCCTGCCCGCCCATCTCCCTCTACCGCCGGATCACAACGCTCTAATATTGAATTGTACCAGTAATTATTTACCTCTCACACGTTGGAACGGCGCATCAGCAACGAACACAGCCGTTTCCATCTATGACAATTTGTGAATGCAGATGTAGAGGCACAGTCAGTGGATTAAACACGACCAACACGTTATTTCATTTTCCACTGGAGTAGGCGATGTGCAAATGGCGACCGACAAGTAGGCCAAGCTGCACAAATGGCGACCGACAAAACATATCAAAATCGTGCATGACTAGATAATGAATGTTGAGGATGGCATCCAAGCCCCGGGTCCAGGCAAATCTTAAATGTGGAGGTGTAGGGCCCCCATGGAAGGACTCTTTCCAGGCGGCCAGGCGCGCAGAAAATGGCCATACTGAAGGTGGAGACCCAGAGCAGAAGGTGTGTGGCCAGAAGAGAACATTGGACACTGCCATACCCTCTGGCTGCTCAGTAAGCCCAGTCTGATCATCCTAGGGCCGTCGCATCATCCAGGAGGACCATACTGGTAACCATGACACCCCGGCTCCTTTAGCCACCTGGGGGCTGTTTAGCATTCTGAAGTTCCTTCTGGACAGGAGGTACTTTGGACCCAATCAGGACTTTCGACCGCGGAAGTACCGCATTAACCTGTCAGGGCCTATGTGTGCTCAGTGCACCCCAGAAGCTGCCTACACATACACAGATTGAGGTGATCAGTGTAGATGTGTGACCTACGTGCGTATGCAGCATATCAAACTTTCGTTGGTCAGAATTCGGATACCATGGCCCAAACTCCTAAAATTTGATACAATTGTCATTTTCCACGTAAATGTTCTATGCGCATGGCGTGAGTTAACTGACCATGTCATATGCCTTCCCAAATATCAGCGTTAAAACGTTTTGCATTTATGCACAGCGGAAACAGTGAAGAAAGTGACGCAACGGCCAGATCTTCCGCTTGGCAAGCAGACGGGGAGCGGGCTTCTCGCGGTCACCACTGGTCTTCTGCTTGGCCAGCAGACGGGGAGCGGGCCTCTCACGGTCACCTCTGGTCTTGTCCGCCCGGACGGCATGGCAGCTGCGGGGCGTGTGACCTTTGCCATTCGTGCCGCTGTTTCGAACGCGGTAAATGTCGGTCGGCCGCAATGGCCTTTGATGAACAAGACCACACGGGCGATGCCGCCGTCCGTGCGTCCGTTTGCCGAGGTTTCTGTGCTGCACATAGCACCCCACCTATATATGCCGCATGGTGCCTTGCTATCCACATAGCTGTCCGGAACTCCTCAATGTTACCAAGTTGTGAAAGCAATACGATTGGCCCTACTCGTCGAATAAGTAGCAGAAAAAGAGAGAGACATTGCAATTTCGGCCATTAGGCGTTGTCGAAACGATTGTGAGTAGATAACGCTCACAACTTTCAGCTTAAATTGTCTCGACAAAAGCTTGCAGCCGATGTTTCAATAGATCTCTTTTTTCCTACTTGCTCAACGAAAAACAGGCCAATGACGCTGCTTTTATTTATGCGAAGTATTATTCGTACATGGACTGAACAACTTACGTCATTAACCAGCTTATTCGAACTCAATATGCCGACGTTACGTGAAACGCTATAAAAGTCGGCTTTCAGTCCTAACCATTAGTATCATGAGCGTCCGTTTATCTCCGCCGTACCTCTGACGCACACCACCAAGGCCAACCACGAACGCACCTGAGGTACGATGGCATTCAGCTGATTCAGTTTGTTTTGAGCCAACGAGGGCCCGTCTTGGGGTCTTCGAAGTCTGAAGTCGCGCCTTTCCCAGCAAGGTGTCGGACCCTTGCTCGGTCCGGTATCGGGCCCGTGCTTAGTCTGCCGTTGGACCCGTGCTTGGTCCGGTGCCGAGCCCGTGCTTGGTCCGGCGTCGGGCAGTCCGGTGTCGGGTCCGTGCTTAGTCCAGCGTCGGGCCCGTGCTCAGTCCAGCGTCGGGCCCGTGCTCAGTCCGGTGTCGGGTCTGTGCTCAGTCCGGTGTCGGGCCCGTGCTCAGTCCAGCGTCGGGCCCGTGCTCAGTCCGGTGTCGGGTCCGTGCTCAGTCCAGCGTCGGGCCCGTGCTCAGTCCAGCGTCGGGCCCGTGCTCAGTCCGGTGTCGGGTCTGTGCTCAGTCCGGTGTTGGGCCCGTGCTCAGTCCGGTGTCGGGCCCGTGCTCAGTCCAGCGTCGGGCTCGTGCTCAGTCCGGTGTCGAGTCCGTGCTCAGTCCAGCGTTGGGCCCGTGCTCAGTCCAGCGTAGGGCGCGTGCTCAGTCCGGTGTCGGGTCTGTGCTCAGTCCGGTGTTGGGCCCGTGCTCAGTCCGGTGTCGGGCCCGTGCTCAGTCCAGCGTCGGGCTCGTGCTCAGTCCGGTGTCGAGTCCGTGCTCAGTCCAGCGTCGGGCCCGTGCTCAGTCCAGTGTCGGGCCCGTGCTCAGTCCGGTATCGGGCCCGTGCTCAGTCCGGTGTCGGGCCCGTGCTCAGCCCCGCAACGGGCCGGTGTTTGGTTCGGTGTCGGACCCGTGTTTGGTCCGCCGTCGGGCCCTTGCTTGGTCCGGCGTCGGGCCCGTCGGCCGGGCGGGGTCTGGCCGGCCGGTGCGGGGCCTGGCCGAGCCGGAGCCGGCCGTCGCCAGCCGGGGGCGTCTGACAGTCGCGGTCAGTCGCCAGGCCGTCGGCAGTGGTGACCGAGCGGCGGGCGGCGGCGGCGACCGTGCGGTCGGCGCCACTGGTGACGCGTACCATGTGGCGGACGGCCGCCGCGCTGCTGCTGCTGCTGGCCGCGCCGGCGGCCGGCGTGCGCCACATCCGCATCCTGCAGCCCGTCCGCAAGATGCGTAGCTCGCTTCTTTGGTTGCGGCACGAGGACGCCGCGCTGTCGGGGCGTCGGTCGCCCCGCGCGCTGGCACTGCGACCGGTGTTGCGCGGCCGGACGGCGCTGCGCGGCCCCGGCGGCTGGACGCTGGGCCGCGCCGCTCTTACCGTCTCCACGGCGCCGGACCGCTCGTCCGATGCCGATGCCGGGTGGCTGAGGCCGCGTGCACCGGCGGCCGCCTGGATACGGCCGCCGCTCCGCCGCACTCGTCACCCGCAGCCGCTCCGACGACCCCATCACCGGCCGCTGTGGCTGCCCAGCCGGCCGCCGCTGCGACTCAAGCCGGCGGACATCTGGAGTAGTCACGCGTTCCAGCCGTTACCGGAGGAGCTGACGGAGAAAGTTAGGTGTAGCGCTATTGGGCCACGTTTCTTTTTCTCTTTCTAGGTGATCACCCCACTTATCCACTTCTTGTTCTCTCCTTCAAATGTGTTATCTACAAAACTATCGTTTGCCATTTAAAAGCCCACAAAGATGCAGCATTCTCCATGGATGCTCCATAACCGTGTTCGGTGTTTAAACCTCCACCCGGCGATATGCCCTCACGTTTTTTTAGAATTGCACGAAAACATCCGGAAGCAGGTTCATAGCATTTCTCAGCTCCTCTTAATGCATTGACGCAATATAAGAATTCGAGTCGACGTCGCAAGTCATTGGATTTAGTTAACCTGATGTCACACCCTCTCTCTCTCCCTTCCATTTTCATTTCCAAAGCTTTACGGGAAACTTGTAAGTCTGATAGAAAATTATTGGACACAAAAATATGTGAAATCGAATAAAAAATGTTTTCAGACCGAACGGAATTCCAAAGGAAATGCCCAAAGTAAGGCAGACACGGAAATCATCTTCATTACTGCTTTTCTAATGAGTAGGCTGTTGTTTCTCACAAACTTACATATAAACGGTTTGATAAATGTTTGGCAGTGCTTCAGACGCCGTTCAAGTTATGTAAAACACAATGACCACCTGGATAGTCCTTATTGGAACCGACATCAAATAGAATTAGGGACCGCCCATAAATGATGTCACGCATGGAGGGGGGGGGGGGAGGGGGGCAAAAGGAAGGCGCAACAAGAAAGGTGGGAGGTTTGGGACAGCGTAACGTTACACACAGGTGTGATAACCGATCGGACTAAAATATGTTGAAACAACATGAAGCCTCCACTACAATGTAAACCAGCACAAAACAAAGAATGCAATATTTAAGTTGCATGGGCTTTGTTTGCACTGGAAACTGTTTCGCATCATGCAAATTGCTCACTCTGGGAAACTGATGCGCAAAACTTTTCGGTAGCTTCAACACTGTCTCACAATGTTTGCCTTACCCCTTGACGCTGTTTAAACGTTACATACGCACTTGTAACTTTGCATGAGCGTTCATATACAACACATTTAGTCACAATTTTGTTGAATTTACTCTTTGTCTTAACTCCCCTAGCTGATATTGGAAGGTCGTGATCGCCGAGCGCATCGTCTTCCCAAGTCATTCCCGCTCTTGGCTTTACCTGCCGGATGTGCGGGTGTTTTACGGAGTTCTCATTACCTGCATATCTTACGCCGACCTTTCCGAACCCACAGATACAGCAAAAGCGGGACGGCTGTTCAAACGAGCTTTCTCAGGAAACAAACACAGAGGTGAGCCCTGACAAAAGCGGGACGGTTATTCAAACGAGATTTCTCAAGAGACAAACACAAAGGTGAGCCCTGACAAAAGCGGGACGGCTGTTCAAACGAGCTTTCTCAGGAGACAAACACAGAGGTGAGCCCTGACAACATCTCACTGTGAATCGTTTTGGAAACACTGCATCTAAGCATGTGCGTAGATATGGTGCACATAATATACATCATACCTATGTATGCATACCGAACCGGGCAGCCCCACAGCCATCCATACTAAAGACCTGACCTTTTACGGACTCATGAACTTTTCGAAACCGATGCCAGGTGGATTGATTCATTTCACCGATGAATCAGACCCAGACTCGCCGTAAACAGCTCACTCATCGCAGAGTAAACGCGACGAGGAGGAGCGTACGCCAGTGCATGGCTGAGAATCTACTTATCAGTGTGGCTATTAAGATACCTAAGTTATTCAGGTCAATACGTGTTTACCGTAGGGAAGACTAAGAGGCAATTAACCTTAAATCTATACGACGCACGCTAATCTTGGGTCAGAAAGCCATTATATGGGGGTAAGCGCGACTTATATGTTTTGTATATGTTGCTGAATGAGACTGTATGCTTGATAAACATATAAATCAGAGTAATTTCATAACGTCCCAGAACATGCTAAAGTAGTCTGCACGGTGTATTGCGTGAGGGGTAAGTACATATGCCGCATGCGACACAAAGTATTTGGCGGCTGCAACCCAAGGATTTCGGTGTGATGGGACTTTTTTCCAAGGTACCGGGTGATGCCTGTTGAATCAGCTGTGCATGGGGCACGTTGTATCAGAGAAGCAATGTAGGTCCAACAATATCATTTGCCAGTTTCCTTGCAGCGATTTACTGATATGATTGTCATGAACTATTGTCATTCAGATAATAAGTAGCGATTAACATTGCCTTTGTACACTCATAATTCCTACCTGCGCCACCAAAACCATGGTGGCTGTAAATTTTAAAAAGCTGGCTCATTTAAAAGGACAGGAATTTGTTACGTTTCAAATACGACGAATTACGAAATAACAAAGACGAATGTGTGCTGTTGGATGTTGCAACATGTTTAGCTTGTTTGTTATGCAACTTACTCCATACAGAAAAATACAAATTCCCCCACCATGTAATGCAATATGCCCCAAGGTTGTACCCCTTAAAAAGGTTTATTTAGAAGTCATTTACAAAAGAACAAAGACGTGTTCTCCAAAACGTTTATGTTACATGGGTAGCTGAAGGCTATGAATGTCTACAGATTTAAGAATATTAGTTATGTCTTCAATAGTTATGGTATAAGGGAGCTCAGAACTTATACAACTCTCTTCGCTCTCCCCGACGCAGGGTTAGTGAGGGCATCTGAGTTACTGCATCCGTAATGAATGCGTCACCGTTTTCACGAGCTAGAATTGATGTACCCTCGTATGAAATCACTTGAAGTACACAAAACACAAACTAGCCGGTTCCAAGATGAAATATCGCTATCACGTTCGTTGCGACTCACACAGTTGTAACACACACTCATACTCACACTCACACATCACGCGAAAAGGCGCAAGAATGATTTGCCGGACGATCTGGATAGTCCAGCTGTCTGAGTTATCCAAAACTGTCCATCCGACATTTCTAACGAAGCGGCCTGTAACGAAGTCTGCTGTCCACACATTACCGCTCTCTGGTCGGGTGCCGTCCCTGTCGACCGGATGACGCGCGTTGCGCCAGAAGCCTGGCCGGGTGGGTTATGCGCAGCTACTAGAATCATCCCCCTTTCAAGCCCAGGCGCCTGGGAGAATAAGGTCATTCAGACCAAGCCGGAATCTGGTCCGTCGGAAGCTACTAAAGCAATGATCTGATTGTTTTATAAGCAGCATGCCGTCGGTAATGTCATCCAACGCTTGGTTTTTGAGGGACTGGCACATATTTTTATTGGGGTTTGAGCTGGTAAAACCATTTTCAAAACAATGCCCTGCAGTCTACAGTTATCCCCTTTTTAAGACTCACGTTTCAAGTTCTCACGTTTCTGAAGAAGGCGCACGTTAACCTGTACAAACCATATCGCACCGCTTAATTTGAAGTTACCCAAGGTTGTATGACTTAATAATATAATAATACAATAGACATACTTCTGGCTTCTGTTAAGATGGGGTCAGGGAAAACAAACATTTTGTCACTGTTTCTTACAAAATACCAATGCTTATTTCGATGAAAGTAGCCTATGCCTAACCTAAAGAGGTCTTACATCATCTCATCCTGTATAACCTGTTTGTATCACAGCAGCAGTTGTGAGTTACTGATTCTTGCACAATTCCTATTGCCACTTGCCATGCACTTGACCAGCTTAACCTACCTTAGAGAAGCCCATATGATGAACATCATCCCAACTCACCTATCTGTTGACAGCAGCACTTGTGATAAAAACATGATGTTTAAAGCTAGTTTTTGGCTGGTTCCAACTTGGATTTTTATGCAGTTCAATTATGTTTGCTTGTTGACATCAGACAAGTTGACAATACACAAATCAAAACACTTTAATCCACTTTGAACAACTTATTTTGATTGTCATGGTTAACCTATGTCAAGGGCAATAATGGGTATGCCCCACAAAACAATTTCTCTTCTCCAAAAATAGCACAACTATAAGGTGACCATGCCAGTATTACTGCTTGCCTTTTCAGCTGCAGCAAATGCATCCATTTGGGCTTGTTTATTCATATTTAATGACAAAGTTTGAGAAGTTGGCTTCACATTTTAAATGGGGTGGTCTGACCATTTGTTACACACCAATATTTAGCTCATATTATAATTGCTATGCAACTCAGAGTATCCCTGTGTTAAAAAGATAATACATATATACAGTACAGTCATTTGCCAGTCAGCAAACCATGACAACTATAGAAAACACATGGTTAAAGCAGCCATAAGGGGTCACTTTAAGAAATTTGGGGCAAATAACCAAGAACATGGAGTAAAACAAGCCTATTGCACACCTTGTGGCATCATAATATGTCTTATGGCAAAACTTGATGCATTCAAACGAAAAATGGCTAACTCTGGTTACCAATCATGTGTTGAAAGCAGGTAAGGTAAGCAATTACTTGGTCCACAGGAGACTTACTGGCTTCTTCCTGCTCCCCCAAAAGCAAAAATTCGGTACCTTTTGCATGGTCTGCTGGCAGACAGAGTCGTCCGACTCACTCCCCAAATATATATATATATATATATATATATATATATATATATATATATATATATATCAATCATGCCCACCAGCCTTTGAGATTAAAATGCGAAACAAGTGAGAGGTGTACATTATAAACATCTCCAGAGGGCAGAATTTCGCCATCAAACACTTCTGTATTAGCTGCGTCAGATCTGTCCCAAGGCTCTGTATGGCAGTATTTATTATAATGCTAATGCCTTGCCAGGTAGCCTGGTCAGTCAAACACTCGTAAGGCTTGGATTTATCATTATTAAACACCGCCATGAGCCAAGAAAACGGTTAACCGAAGGTTTAAGAGGGCAAAAATGAGGGTAAAAATAAGTTCCGTATCTCAAATTGTCTCCTTCATTCCCTGTGAATTGTTCACGCTTGGGTGCATATCAAACATGTTTGGGCGGCTGGTGAATTGATCCAATTTATGTATAAAATATGTACAAGTTTGCAGTTGGAGCATCTTTCACAGAAATTGGTCAAAATTTTAAGTAGCAGATGGTACCTCTAAAGACAATTGAAAAGGAAGGAAGAATAAAGTGGTATGACACTAGTATGGTACCAAGAAAAAGAAGTAGCTAAATAATTATAAAGACTGGCACTTTTCTGGCAAAATTTTATAACCAGCTGATTTGACTTAAAATATGTTAATAGAAGTGTTCAAAGAGTGATATTCATCATGTAAGTTTAATTTACAACACATTTCTTGAACTTTTACTCATGCATTTCGGGAGTGTGCAATTTAGTGGTTAAGCTTCCTCGGGAAAAAAGTAGTACGTGGAGTACAATTCTCTAACAGGCCTTGCTGTTGTTTGCACCAGGCTCTGCTTTCGTGGTGTGGTGTTGAGACCAAAAAAATAGGGGATGAGTGAAAACCTTGCATTTGGCGCACAGCTGCACATTGTGATGCATTTTGTTAACGAATCAAACTTAATGCGTGCAAGCGGCTGGCGTCGCTGGCGTTCTTGGGGTTGGAGGTATCTGGCGCCCTCGCTATGTGCAAACATAGACATGATTCAGCTGTAGGTGAGGCAGGACATAGCCATTGGTGTCCAGGTTCTGCGGAGCCTCATTTATTCCTGGTGGCTTCAAGTGAGCTCGGTTTTGCATGACATCTGAAAACTTCAGAAAAAGAAATAGGGGTTTGGCATGTGCGATAAGGCAATGTCAGGCAGGAGAAAAAATTCATATAAAATATGGGGAAAGGGAGTGAAAAATTCCTCTTCATAGGGTGTTGCTTTACACCCAAAGTTGGCAATTCTAGGACACTGCTTAGAATCGTCCGGAGCAAGGAATGGATTAGCAACTACTGTTTTTGTATAACTGTGTCACCGTATTGCCATCGTACGCAGTAGCACACAACGTCGTCCATAATGACAAACTATACCCTCGGCCGTGAGGAGGCACACTATGCCCGTCAATGTTCTCATATTGTGATTTATATTACGTCTACGTAAATAATGTTTGAGGTAGATGCCCGTGATCCGGTTGTCTCGCTCGGTTCTTCACCAGAGTTCTCGTCCACCCCTCTTGCTGCAGGGCCCGTGATCCGCGTCTCGCTGAGGCGGAACGACACGGACAGTCGCAAGCTGGAGCGGATCTCGAGGTTGACACAACGGGACCGGGCGAGGTCGCAGCGCGTGAAAGGTGGACGTGACCCCCGCTTAAGCCGAATCCGTCAGCGGCAGGACACCGCCGCCGACACCGTGCGCGACACGGGCAGCAGCGAGAAGAAACGCGACGTCCGGGTCCGCGTCAACTTCGGTGAGCGGGGCGGCCGCCGATTGGTCCGGCCGGCGATGACGTCACAGTCCGGGGAGGCGATGTCGGACGGCGCGTTCGGGCTCAGTGGGCGGTGTGACATCATTCATTTTGAATGAGGCACGACCGATGTGACATTATTCGAGGTCAAACCGAGACGTGGAGCGGCTCAGCTCTCGTCCGAACACGGCACATGAAGCTGTCACTGCACTGCCGGCCGGTTCACAGTACTGTAGATGCCGGGTGGCGAGCCGGTTCTGGGGGCGGTGGTATTGACTGACACATGATGCACCGTTGGACATTAGGTCATTCTTGGCGACTGATGCAACAGGGGCGCCGTTGACGTGGCTGGTCACGAATGAGTTCAATCACGGATATTGGTGCTGCAGCACTAACTTCGACTTATGCTCGTTACACGGTCAGGTCATGCTCTCACCACGTCCACGTTATTACAGAGACCTAGTCATTTAGCCCAAGATAGAAGAAGGAGAAGGAAGAATGCATCGCAACTCACATTTTCATAATGGGCGTCTTCGCTACATCCACGACATTCTGCATGCTATAGTTTTCAGGCGCAAAAAGTGCCGAAAGTGCGGATTTACAGGAAACGGAGGCGCCTCCTCATATTCAGCTGGGATGTGGGATGTGGGGGAGGACTGGAGCTGGGATGTGGGATGTGGGAGAAGACTGGAGCTGGGATGTGGGATGTGGGAGAGGACTGGAGCTTCCCCGCACATTGGCAAGAAAGTAAGGCAATCGGGTGAGAAGCGAGAAGTTAAGTAATTTTTCAATGCTCAGCCCTCTTTCAGCTTATTTTGCAAAGCTGCACCCCTGACTGAAAACGCACGCTTTGCGCAGTTCCATACAATCGCTAACAGACCACTGTACACGTTTACTATTGGGGAATTCGTGACATTTGAAACACAGTCGTAACCAGAACTTCCTCAGGACGGAGACCAAAATCTGATTAGAAGCATCGTGACATTCCAAAGCGTCTTTTGATAGGAATCCAATATCACTAGATAGGCAACCCTTTTTGAATTACTAGCGACTCGTGCAAATTGAACGAGGGGCATCAGCTGCAAAATGGCATAGACTCGCAAGTAAACTGGGCAAACTTAGGTAAACCGGGCGAGTTACCTGCGACTCAACTTTCAACCCGTGTGTAAAACGGACGTGTGTTTCGATCAAAGCATGCTGCCGAAATATCAGTTCATCTACACCTCCATTCTTCTGGTTGTTCTCCGAGGGGTAAAGCTATTACTACTGCCTTATCTATATGAATTTAACGGTTCATTTGCTTGCGTCGTGGATACTGCCGTCAAGCCGCACCCGCCCCTTTTTGCATGCGGGTTTAGTTTAATTTTATGTACAATGTCGCTCTTTGCCGACTGGGCACTCTGGGCATGGCCGTTTCCGATCTAGCGGTCTTAGATATTTATCGGTCTTTCTACGGGAAGGTTATGACTTACGCTAACGAGAGGGCAGCTGCTTAAATGCATCACGTTTTGATTTACTTCTCCAAAATAGAAACAAACATAAATATTAGTCAAAAAAGAATCCTTGTAGTCTGTGTCGTGGGATTACGAAAGTTCTTTTGGACATCGACACTGTAGTGATGGCGTTAGCCTTCATATGCCATGTGCCTCTGCAATATGTCATGCGCCGCACCTTACTACACTACATTGCTATAATATTGCTGTGGCACACCTTTCGACATATGCAAATGCTGCTTAACACCATACTCAGAACGTCGTCATGTTAAGAGGACACTTCTTATGAACACACGATAGCCTTTTTAGTTGAGAAAATTCACATATGACCATCGAAGTTCAGAATTCGTTTCGTCGAGGTGCGAAAGCTGCCGATGGTTCCTTGGTGAAACCACTGAGATGAATCTCTTCTTATTGGGAGAATGCTACCTTTTTGTACTTCTCACATGTTGTTAGATAATGTCGTGTGTTCAGTAATGTTTGCAACACAATAATTTGTAAACATGCTTGCGTAATACACCATGGATATCCATTTCTCAAAACGATATTGGGGGCCAAAGCTCGAAAGTCGGATAAGGGAACATGTGCGAAAATCCTCCCGGATTTGTTCACTTATGATATGGGTTTGTAATATATATATATATATATATATATATATATATATATATATATATATATATATATATAGTCTGCAACAACTACATTTTGTTTAAAGCCCATGTGTGGAGCTACCGGAATCACGGATGGAAGCCTAACAGTTTGCATCAGCTTCCTATAAGCGCACCTGCTTTGTGAAGCTGAAAGGGTGAAGTTATACCTCTATCTTGCACATCCAGCAGTGATGTTCGCGCATAATTTATCATCTTTTGCTTAGTGATTTTTGGCGTACTGATCTATGTTTTAACAAGAATAGAGTGTTTAGAGCACATGTGGCTATCACAACTCATTTACACGCAGGTTCTCAACAAACCCAGGCTTCACCGACAAAACATGTGAATTTTAGTTAACGTAAAACAAAACATAGAAACTCCTCTATGCACCAGTTACAAAAATGGTCCTCAACATTTCCCCAAATAGCTCAGGTAGATGCCCTCCTGTAAAGAATGTCTTTCCCCGCTCATTTTTTACGCACGTTTTGCGAGCTTGCTGTGTTTCTGGGGAACGCTGTTCTAAGCCGGCGTGCCTCTGAAAGGAAAGCGGCCCTAACCCGCTTCAGTTCGAATATGTGGTAAATGAAGCCCCGTAGCGTCAGTGTCAAGCGTAACGCAGTTTGAGCACAAAAGTGTTACTGTTGAGCTGGCTCTTCGACGCCACGCTGATATACAGATACTCAGTACACAGTGAGCTCACCCACCCAGATGCACAGCCAGAATCTTGATGAGGAGAAGGGACACAGGATTGACAAAGGGTGTAATGTCCTCCACCCAAACATTACCGGATAAGACCCATTTGATTTTAAGGGGCAATTTTTGCTCCGTTTTACCTTAATATGTTCCCTTTTTACTAAAACAAACAAGAAGGCGCCGAAATATGCTATTCTGTTAGCATTTTGAAGTCAATAACCTGAAAAAAACAGGCCTTCAGTGATGACATAGAAACACTGTCGCTTTTCATTTCGTACTCGTTTAGTGAACTCGTTCTGAGTGATAATACTCAAGGGCTTTGACAGAACTTTTGCCGTGTTGTACAGAGACATTATGAACGTAGATTATTGCTAATATAGATTGTAGATCAAAATGAGTTTACAGATTTGCTTTGACAAGCTCAAACGCCGTGTGTCTGGAAATCTACGACCTTTTCCAGAATCCAGTCGTGAAAGAAACACATCACGTACTTTTGCCCATGTGCACTTGCAAACCTTAGAACGAAAACCCTGATGTCCGGCGTTGCAGTCTCCATAGGACGGCGGCGTCGCCCCTGCAGCTAACATTAGGCAGAGGCCAGCGGGCGAACAAAAACGATGTCGTTCCCGAAAAAGGACCTTTGAGCGCTTGAAGATGCCAGTTCGTACGTTTAGAAAGTAACCCGTGAGTATGTTTCAGCCAAACAGTTTTTAGACATAATAGAAACGCATTAGCACTCGCAGCGTATCACACAGGTGCTGAAATTTGTCCACGGAGCTAGACAAGCAAAAGGTAGAATTTCCTGTATTTGGGCTGCTGTCGCTGTTAATCCACTGAATAAAGATCTCAAAATCATGCAGGCGAAATGTGCGCCCAAACCTAACAGTTAAGAGGTTCAAATTCATTAGGAAAGACCTTCGGAAGCATTAGGTCACGGCGGTTGTTCTCGCGCACTAGGCGCTCGCCACCCGGCGTTAGCTGTAGCGTCCGAAGCCGTTCGGTTTGATGGAACTGCAACCCGGCCATCAATGTTCTTGGTTCTAAGATTGCGAGCGCGTAAGATCAAATTTATTTATGTATTTTCTTTCACATGCTGAATCGGATAGGAAGGGACTTTGTGTGTCGGCTTTTTCATTTTTGGCCTCGTCTTGATACCGCTGTATTGAAAACCAAAGAAGCCCTTACCTTCCCGGGTAAGTACCCAGTGGTTAGTACAATAGGGGCAAATTGTATTTTCCGGTCAGAGGTCAAAGTAAGGGCTCATTCCATTACAGCATAGGATGCCTGACTGCTGCCATGCTGGCGACTCGGGGGTTTGAGTCTCCAGGTCGATACGGAAGCCCTTAGGGGGATCAGTCATGCATTAGTCGCCTGTCTGACGCCGGAGCCCCCTGAACCGAGTATAAGGCCCCCCATGGACGCAGGGGGCCCTTGTTGACGCACAAAGATCCGTTACCCTCCCCAGGTGCCAAATAACTGACACAGAGACTCCAGCCTCAGCACGGCGATCGCCTGGCTGAAATGGGATGGAAAGCTCCCCGTTCTGAGCTGGAGCCCCTGATTACCACTGGACCCTACATGATCTTCTTTTGGCCTCTCGTCGTTAAGTTGCATATCCACTTTCGTTGTTAGAGGCCTGCGGTGGTGGGGATTTTGTGTTTTAGGGCACATCGGCACCAACCAACGCGAGAGGCCCTCGAGCATTCGGGGTTCCGTCCCTACCCCTGTTCAGCAAATACTACCCTGGCTGACTCAAGACCCCTTGCTGACATAGAGCCCTCTGTTAGGCACTGTTCGGGCCTGACCAACACAGAAGCAAGCATTGCTTTAGGGGTGCCGACCAATACAAATCGCGGGTCCCGACCTTGTCCCTGCTTGGGAAATGGACTCCCAGAGCTCAGACCGACACGGAGACGACTGTTCGTTGTTGGTGCTCTAACCGATACAGAGGCTCACCTTGTCCCAGGGTATTCCATATCGGTGCAAGAGGCCCTCTCGCTGATAACTGGGGGAGCAGCCCCGCGGGTCGGGCTCCTTAATATGACCTACCGCCAACTCTTCGTAACCTCCAATCTAACAGTGAGGTGAGAGGGACACTTCGGGACCCTCTGCGGGACCCCACAATACCGTGACTCCTCCTGACCGATTAGGCGCCCCTTGCCAATACTGGACCCTTGTCAGGCATTATAAGACCCCTCACTGACTCAGGGGCCCGGCCGATGTAAATCGCGGGCCCTGACTTTATATTTGCCTTGGTTTATGGCCATTGTCCCAGGCCAGACGATGGAGTCCGGTCTGATGGCGAAT